TGAGCCTGACACAGAAGCTGGCAGCAGTGGCAGACAACCGACTGCTATTCAATCTATAACAGTGAAAAAAGTTTTTTGTTTTTAAATCCAAGCTATTGTGACACCAGATGTAATTGGTGGCACTGACTGGGGGAAATGGGCACAGTATGCACTGTGAGCCTGACACAGAAGCTGGCAGCAGTGGCAGACAACTGACTGCTATTCAATCTATAACAGTGAAAAAAGTTTTTTGTTTTTAAATCCAAGCTATTGTGACACCAGATGTAATTGGTGGCACTGACTGGGAAATGGGCACTGTGAGCCTGACACAGAAGCTGGCAGCAGTGGCAGACAACTAAGTGCATTTACATTACATAGAAAAAAAAAATCAAAAAAAAGCATACCCTTATCCCTAACCTAGCTATGCTTTCCCCTATCTTATGAACAGCAGCTACACTTTCCCTCCTCTTACTAAGCATGCAGCTTGAGAATGAATCTAAAATGGATGCTGTCCAGTAGGTGGGAGGGTCTGCTAGGGAGGCTGTGCTGCTAATTGGCTGGAATGTGTCTGCTGACCGTGAGGTACAGGGTCAAAGTTTACTCAATGATGACGAATAGGGGGCGGGTCGAACCGCGCATATGTTCGCCCGCCGTGGCGAACGCGAACATGCTATGTTCGCCGGGAACCGTTCGCCAGCGAACCGTTCGGTACATCACTAATTCCTATACTTTGTATGAAATGCAGACGATTTCAGTGCTCTTGTTTGAGCAGACTATAGCTTGCCCTGAAGCACATATTAAGGTTATACAAGAAGCTCAAGAATCAAATACCTACACAATTTTTGGATCCAATTTAGAGGCCTATTCAGGATAGGATAAGATTAGTGCATCACCCCCCAAAAATGTTTTTATAACATATCATATCTAATACCTAGTGATGCACAATTTACTGACACAATATGAAATTACAATTTTTCTTGTTAAACTGTTTTTTATACATTATTTTTTAAATTTACCTCGATGTCTATGGATCACCTTCCTGTAGTCTCTGGCCAGATTTGTGAACACGACAAACATTTATTTATTTTGTATTTGTATTTCATAGTTTACATGTTCTACCACCTCAGACAGAGAAGCGATCCCATGTATACACTGTTCAGAAAGCAAAGCAGCAATGTAATCATTACGTCTTACTTTTAACTCTCTTGTTTCCAAGCATAACATCTCTTTCTCCAAAATATCCCTCTCCTTGCACAAACCCTTGAGTATTGTGTGTCAGAGCAGCACATCTGCTTGAAGGAGGTCTACTAACAAGTGACCTTCATTCATCAGCAGTGACACATTTCCTTTGATGGTGTTTAGATATCACATGAGATGTGTGCTGGTAAGCACCATGTTTGGAAACCTCTTTGTATCTTAAGTGCTCCAGCCAGCCAAGCATTTGTCATGCTTTAAGGTGTTGGACCATTTCAACACTTTTCTCCCTCCTGCCTTCTCCTATCCTGCTATTAACGCTGCAGCAGCCTCACTGGTATCTATTATCAAAGGCCTTCTAGCCTGAGACAACCGGTTTCAAACCTTTAATGAGCCACCGCTTCCACCTAATCCTTTTAATTCCCAAGGGAGCCTAACAGATTTATTTTACAAGTTTGTGTCTGCATTTAATCCAGGTAAACAGCTTAAAACAGCAGGGGCATTTAGCAAAGCACAATTAGAAAGCCATAAACTTGGAGCAGTACCACCTTTGAACCAGAAAGTTTGTCCTTGCAAATGTTGCATTTTTTTAACATCCTTTAACAATGCAGGTGCAAGAGGAGAACCTTACTGTGAATTCTTTTTCCATTTAAAATATTTTACCAGGAAGGATACACTGATATTTCGCTCGTTTTCAAGTATGTCCTGGGTATTACTCAAAGGGGTATTGATGGAAACATTAACTGTAAAGTAATGTAGTTACATCTTATAACAAGTGTGGGTTGAATTGCAAATCATTCAAAACAAACATGTTTGATCATTGCGCGTTTTGTTTGGTTTGTGTTACTGCATTAGCCCCGTGAAATCCAAACAGTTG